GGATATTTTAAGCCTTGATATTAGGCAAAATTTGATCTGCAAAGTGAATGTTTGGATTGAAGTTTTGTTGCTTAAACTCTAGTTATTAATAGAAATTGAAAGTCATGTAATTAGTAGCAATGCTAATAATACTGTATCTGCTTTTAAATGACACTTTTCACTGATGAATCACCAATGAGGCAGTTATCTTTTCCTTGTTTTATGGCTGCTGGCTCCAAGGCATGGACAAGTTAGTCACTTCTCAGGCTCTTAGCTCAGCTTGCTACAGAGCTCAGGTGTTCTGAATTCAGGTTCAGTGCTCTGCTCTTTCATTTGAGTGTTTGTGTTCAAGTAGCACTGGAAAACTAGTACATGATATGCTACGTATACACTGTACTATAAATGGCATAATAGATATATAATGTGGATAATACATGTAATACATACTATATGTAATGCATATTTAATGTGTGTATTCATGCTTTTGAGAGGTATTTTGTTCCCTGATAATGGCCAAAGAAAGTAGCAGCGTCTCTGAGTGGCCCGCAGCACATTGGGGCTCAGTCCTCCCTTCTGCCACACGTGTTCCATACCTCTTCGGGCACAGCATGCAGAATGCAATCCTATCCATAGGGGTATCTGTGAGAAACATCCCTCAGACTTAGCCGTGCATGGTCATGCCCTGTATCGTCTTGTGTCTCAGTTCCTCACCTGTGCAGTGAGCATTCTTCCTTTTCTCTGGCAATTTTGTTGTCTCATCTCTTTAGCTCCCAAGCTCTTTGCTGTCTGGAATAGATTTGATTGTTTCTTATGTAGGTGCTTGTACTGCACTGCATGAACAAGGATCTGAGTTGGGGCTGCATCAAAAAATGGAGAGATGTAAGTTAAAAATCATTATCATTTACTTATGTATCAAAGAGAGAGATATAAAAGGAGCAAAAGACATGCATGCTTGGCAGTAGTGCCTTAGTTGTGCCCTTATGCTTTAGAATTAGAAGACCTTTTTATGATATAGCAGTATATTCTTTATTACCTCTTGGAGCCACTAATCAGCTTTTGTTTTGGTTTTGCTCAGAAATTAATGTGGGATTTCACCCTTCCATGAATATTTATTTTGGCATTGTTCAATTAGGCTGAGCAGTTAACTGGCCAAACTAAATCAGTTGCCTTAAGAATACACTCCAAGCAAAGCATTTTTGTATTGTTTCCTCTCATAAAAGTTCAATGCGGTGTATAATTAGAAGAGGTTGAGTGCTTCCATTAATTCTGCAAAGTTTTCTCACCTATATATTTTGATAAACCTAATATTTTGCTGACACATTGAATCTAAGCCCAATTAAAGATGTATGCAAAGATATATATCACTGATCCCTGAAAAAACATCCCACAGGAAGGAAACAAAGCAGGAAGAGGTTTCAGGGGGCTCGGCTGGCATTTGCTGTCGCCTCGGAGTTTAGGGAAGATGGAGCGCTCTGTGGGAATCCCAGATAAGCAGTTAATGGAGCCCAGCAATGTGTGGATCAGCAAGAGGTCTCCAGGGAATTGATGCCTCTCTGTTTCCGTTGCAGATCCCTTCCCCTAATAGCAGGGGCTGGGCAGAAGCTGGGTGATACTGGGCTGTGAAGCAGCATCAGGATCAGATCTTGCAAGAGTTAATGCTGCTTGAGGCCTCATTAGTTGCTAATGGGGCCTGAGGAGGACAGTACTGTGGAGATCCTCTCCTGCTTGAAATCCCATGCAGTCCAATCCCTCTGCACATTTGTTGTAAAAATATGCATAGCTCGCTTCTTACTCCTGCTATTTTGCTTTCTGTTTCTCTCTTTTTATTGAAAAGATGGCTAGCATTTGCCTTTCTCATGAACTGACAGAAAGATTTGTCCTCAGGATTACATATTCAGTGTTCTGAGCAATATATATAGTTCTGCTCTGTTCTGTGTGTCCAGCGAATCTTGGAGAGTACTATGTCTTTTCTTACTGAACTCATTTTCAATATAATTTCCAGACAGTATTGCTAACTCTCAACAGGATTGATATGGGACAAATCTATCTGTAAGTGTGTCTTAAAAGACTCCACTTTTTATAATGTGATGTTTCAGTGCAAGATTTGACTAGAATACATACATTTGTACAAGATAATGCACATATTTTAGTACACTAGGCTGCAGTGTAGCCTTTACTATGGACACATTCACCTCTGACCATCCCAAGATGATTTAGTAGTCTCTGACAGGTAGCCTTGTGTTTACATGAATTCTTGATTACCTGAGAGAATGGCAGCATCTTACCCCTCCTTAAATCACTTTTGACTCCTCAGCAAGACAATAGTTCAGTTATTCCTGAGCTAATAAATGGGTTGCTGCGTCAGTTCCTAGCACAATAAGAACGGCAGCATGTTAGAAGTAATGGAAGGCAGCTCTTACAGCAGATATATATTGTGATTTGGCATACATTCTTCTCCCACAACGGGTCCCCTCTTCTGTGAGTGTGTGTATGTATTTCTATATAATATATACATGCATAGCTCTTGCAGCTTAGATTTGGTTAGTTCAGGACTTGAATATGAATGCATGGAAATTCCAAGGCTGTCTGTCGTTAATAAAAATGTTAACAAACAGGCATTATCCATGTGTTGGAATTGCTTCAGTGCTCCTCACTGCTTTCTAAGACACCTGTCCTGCGCTCTGCCTTGTCCTTCTACCTGCACAGGGAGAGAGATGCAGAGGATATGGTGAGAACTCTTTGCTCTCCAAGACATCTTTCTCTGAGTGTCTTGCCTGCTTTCCCATTACAGCAATATAATTCTAGGCCATCAATACCCATGCAGATTTCCTGAAGAGCTAGGGGAAAGAGGAGGCCAGGCTCAAAGACCAGGGGTCTTTTTAAGAAAACAGTAGCATTTTCCTAGCACAAGCGGAGTGTTAACTCCAGACAGGCATCCTGTGAGCTGTTTCTGTGAACTGGGTTTGCAAAATTACTCCAGCACTTTTAGTTTGTAGTAGCGCATCTAGTGCGTGGGCGCTAATCGTCTCTGCTACAGTGTCACTGGTATTAGTCAGGGATGTGCAGAGTGAATTTGGCTCCACTTTTTATTGGCTTTTTGTACTTTGGCAAAAAGATTTTCCATTGTCTATTTCCCAAAACAGTTATTTTTTTCCATAGAGTTGAGTCCATAGGAGAGGGAGGAGATAATTTAGCATCTATTCCAATTAAAGCATTTTTAGAGGAAAGGAAATCCTGCCATGGTGCCTGCTATGGAGTTACCAAGCTATTTAGCATCAGGGAAGAGCAAAGTGTTCCCGTTGTGTGCTGAATCGGGACTTCCTATGCTACTGTTGGAATCGTGTTGCTTTCTCTGCATTTACAAACATGAAAAATTACTCGGCGTTTCTAGTTGCCTTATGATTGGAAACTTTTGACAGAAATTTAGGGTCAAACTCAGGGATGCTAGCACTGATGCACTTTTTCTGAACAACTTTACTTAGGCAAGTTTTGCGCCACAGAAATCTAGTCAAAAAAAGAACAAAACAAATCCCTCCCCCCAAAACAGAAACAAACAAACAAATAAATAAACTGAAAACCCAAGAAAATGCAACAGTTTACAAATATGCCCCAGACTTGTTTCTGTGATGTTATTGAAGAATAGCTATTCTTGACTAACTATGTTGATGGTGTTATTCTGGAATCAGCATGACATTCTTGCTTTCAATTTAACTAATTTTCAAATTACATTAAGTTGAGCAAGAATGCAGCGGTCTGGGAAGAAAAATTTAGATATGGGCTCCTGAGAAATGCTTTTGTGGGCTGTGCCCGTTATTAGCGTTATCAGTTTACAGGATGCCTAAAAGAATCACAGAATGCTGAAGGTTGGCAGGGACCTCTAGAGATCATCTAGTCCAACCCCCTGCACACGCAGGGTCACCTAGAGCACGTGGCACAGGACTGCGTCCAAGCGGGTTTGAAGATCTCCAGAGATGGAGACTCCACAACCTCTCTGGGCAGCCTGTTCCAGTGCTCTGGCACCCTCACTGCTAAGAAATTTTTCCTTAAGTTCCTGTGGAACTTTTGGTGTTTCAGTTTGTGGCCATTACCTCTAGTTCTGTCAGTGGCCACCACTGAAAAGAGACCAGCCCCATCCTCCTCACTGCCTCCCCTGAGGTACTTCTAGACACTGCTCAGGTCCCCTCTCAACCTTCTCTTCTCCAGGCTGAACAGGCCCAGCTCCCTCAGCCTCTCCTCATAGGGCAGATGTTCCAGGCCCCTGATCATCCTCGTAGCCCTGCGCTGGACTCTCTCCAGCAGCTCCACATCCCTCTTGTGCTGTGGGGCCCAGAACTGGACACAATACTCCAGAAAGAAGATAAAGAGTAAAAGAAGGAAGATAAAGAGTAATCACCCTAAAGCAACCATCAGTTCAGAAAACCTGCAGTACAGAGCTAGTTAGGAGCCCCATCTTTTATCTATTTACAAATATATAATTTAGAAATAAGGTTCAGGAGGGAAATGCCTTGAAATGAAACACGTGCACTGAGTTACCGGTGGGGACAGGGGGAGAACTTTGCCCCTTGCTGATGGAATTAGCTGACAAAGAACAGGACCTAATGCCTTGACTAGCCAAGAGGTGTTTTCAACACCAGGGAAGAGAAATGACACTTATTTTACAAAGTGAAATGGGTAGCTCATGTATTGCATAAGGAGGAAATAAAATAAGTTGCATAGACCCATGAGAGAGTTTTAAATAGGAGGTGACTTAAAGAAGTTTTCCCTCTCCATCTGGGTAAGGCTGAGCATAAGCATAACCGTGGGTTGCTGAAAGTGGGCCCCTTTTGCGAGGAAAATGTGCAGCTACTCATTCATGCCGTGACAGGAAGAGCGAAACCTTTCTGATTCACATTCACTGTGGCTAGAGAGATGCTTTTGTGTGCATCTTATTCAACCTTTTTATGTATTAAGAGTGATCTCAGAGTAGCTGGATGATAACAAAAAATTCCACACCCAATACTATAGTATCTCTCTGTCATCACATCCATAAACCTCATCAGGGGCATTTGAACAAGTGCCTGGCTTCAAAGCCCGTTCCCCAGAGAATGCCAAAGGCAGCGCTGCACTATGCAGGCGGAGAGCTGGTATTCCCGGAGTCTGGATGCACCGTGCAGAGTCTGGAGGGGAAGGGCGCTGCTGGGACATGTCACCGCAGCCACGCTCCTGGCAGTCAGCAGTAGAGCAGAGACCACCCTTGCACTCTGCATGGCCCAAAGGGGCTTTGCCACAGTCGCAACTGCACCTTGCTGGCGTGAGCCACAATCTCAGCACCTGGAATTGCTGAAGCAGGAAAAGCCCCTAATCTGCAGCCCCGAAGCTGAGAGCCTGCAGGCCGCATGGGAGCGTTGAAAAGGAGCCGCTTAACCCCTTGCACACATGGCAGAGGAGAACTCAGCCCACAGGAACCCTCAGAAACTGCCACAGAAGCTTTATGAAATTTCTGGAAATTCTGAACTTTTCCGTTTTGCATGACAGATGGAAGGAGATAATGTTGCTCAGAGGTAGAGAGCTGCATAGAGGAGTAGGTTTTACTTTTGTATTGCTTTGTTCTTTATTACAATATGTGAATTGTTTCCTTTTGCTATTTTCTTTCTGTTGCTTGGAAACATTTTGTAAGTTGTCAGCACTATGCACTCGACTGATTAAGATTCAACTAGAATGAGCTTTAATGAAAATGCACACAGTCTGTTTTTCTCTTAAATGAACACCCCAGGAATATTGAATTAAAAATTTTCTTGCTTCGTCAGGTTTTAAGCAACTAGAAATTACTTTTAGCTGGACAGCAGCATTAAAGCTACTTTTGCAGCAAGGTCAACTTCTCCTAAACCCTGTAGGCCTGTTGGTGAGGCAAAATTTCTCCCCAGAACAGTTCTCCCTTTTTCTGAGAGCCCAACTGATGCTGTTGCATGTATTACATGTCACTAATTAAATGTAGATTTAATAAGTACATCACATCCAAGATATAATTTAGTAGAAGAGCATCTCTAGGACTCCGACTCTGCGAGCTTTTGAGCACTTGCCTGAGACCTACTGTTCTCCCCTTAGAGTTTGTGAAGATAAATGGAGTTTTGTCTGCTCAGCATCGCACCTCTGTAGCACTGACCACAAGACTTGAGTCCTTCAAGGTGAAGAAGCACTGAAAAACTGCGTGGGGCAATGCTCATGCCTGACTAATATTAGAGCAGATGCCGCATCGATCTGGTTTAATATGCAGTAATCTCCAACAGAAATTCCTAGGCCTAGAGTAGGATAATTAAAATGTTTGGATTATATGAAATTGTCTCTGGGATAATTCCTGTTAATGACTCTGTTAATAATTATCTGTATATGTTTATTTTACTTATGGGTCTGTCAGCAACATGCTCACTTCTTTCCTCCAAATATGCACTGCTGTTCATAGATGAAAGAGCAGTAAGTTTCATCGTTCCATAGATTCCACATTATTTAATAGTTAATAGTCCAGCATCATATGCAGCAAAGATCCCTACTTAATGTGAGCAGCTTGAAGTATGCTAGATTGTCAGACATGTTATTGAAAGTTAGCCCAGTTCCGAGCAAGTTTATTCTCAAATAATTTTTAACACGTGAGCCTGAAGTCCCAACTATATTGTAACTCATAAACATTCACTACTTCTGCTGAGATACACAGTGATATTTCCCCAATTGAGTTATCTGACTTGCCTTTAAAGTTCAAGCTAGATGAATGCTTGTCCTGATACAGTTAATTGCTTGAGAAGAAAAGCAGTGCAGAGAAGTTTATGATATGTCATTTTTAACACAGTTTATGTGTGTACTATACCCAGTTCTAAGATCCCTCTCCTCTGGGCCATGGGGATGGTCATCTTAGAAACTTGTAGCCCGTTTTGAATTTACAAACAAATCTTGGAATAAATATGCTATAAGAAGGAGTAAACAAATACAGTGGAGGAGAAAAGAGTGAGGGCAAATAGGAAGAAGTCTGCACCCTTCACATTGGTACTACTCTCCTTCTTAAATCATGAGGGGGTGTGTGTGTGTTTTTCTGGATCTGGGACTAACTGCACCTCAATCTGTTTCAAGTGGCAAGAAAATGCAGAAAACAAACTTAGTTTCCTCTGGTGGAGGCTGCATTTCAGGCTTCTGTATCAGAAAGTTGGGGACATTAAAGAGAGGTGAGGTGAAAAATACCTGGAAAGTTACAGCAAGGAGAAAGTGACTTTGCCTATCTGTGGTTTAGTGTTAGTATTTAGGATTGGTAGATGCTTTTGGTGAATTTTAAGCTCATTTTCCATTTTCTGTTAATCCTTGGTTTTATTTAAAAAAAAATAAAAGTGAGTGGACTAAAGCCCTTCCTAGATAATGAGCTAAGCTAAAGCTTAATCTTCGAGGAGGTCACTGCTTTTCCTTTGTGGAGGAAAGCTTCCCTCAGGGAGCACTATGGAACTATGAATTATTAGTGGATGGTGAGTGTGGACGATGCCAGGAGTGTCGGGTGAGGTAACGGATGGGGAACATGCTGAGTGCTGAGCAGTGTAAAGCTAAAGGGCAGGTGGGTCACGGCAGATTCCCTTTAAATCCAGTGGGGGTTGATCTGCAGAAGGCAGGGCACAGCTTGTGCAGATCCTGCTGCCTTGGTTAGCCTGTTCTTTTGTCACGTAGCCAGTTCACAGCCTAAGCAATCTGCCATGTATTTGTTTATTTTTAACGTTTGCATGTTGCACAATAAAAACATGTGAGGTGAAGAAATAAAATTTCAATTTTGTCACTTCCATTTAGATGTGGGTTAACCATTTGAGCAGAAAAGCATGGCTATTCTAAACCTAAATTTTCCTTTGCACAGATGTACATGGAAGGAGATGCAGCAATTGTTAACTGATGGTACATTAATGTCATCTATGGATTTAGGGAAACAGAGAGATAATAAATTAATATGTAAAAGATAATATTTGAGCCCAATAGACCTCGTGCTTTATCTAATAAGCATAGATGAAATCTCATGCCAGTTATTAGAGAATGCAGTTCTTTGTACTGCAGAACCTTCCATTCCTATTCCAACCACATAGCCATAATCATAAGTCATCTGTGACAGAAATCAATGATCTTAGTTTTCTGACAGCTTTCACTGTTCCTAGGAACTGTTTTCCATCTTTCCTCAAGAGGGTTTTTAGAATTTAAGCTCCCTCTCTGCTTGTTTATTATGTGCAGCACCATTCATTTGCTGAGTGACCACAGTGCCAAGTTCCAGCTTGGCATTTGTTGAACATTTTCCTTTCAGTTTCTTGAGAATCCATGCTCCGGCTTCTCTCATGCCAGCAAATTCTCAGCTGTCTGATGAAGTGATGTGGCCTAGGCTGAGATTGGTGGAACTATTACCAGCATCTGTCTCGGTTCAAAATGGGGCAAATGAGATAGATACTTATCTATGATAATTTTTCAAAGAAACAACATGACAGAAGACAGGTTTTCTAATTCTCTGAGTAAAAACTCTAATTGCATAGGTGGAGCGTGCAAATATTCTAGTACATGACATAGCCTGCAGCAGACTCAAGATAAATGAAAAAATGTGCAGCAGTAGGCCAAACTCATGAAAGACTATGTAATTCTTTTCCAGTAAAGTTAATCACGGTAGTCTACTACATGGTAGTCGACAGACCTAGCTTACAAAATCGGAATTGCCAGGGTAGTTGTTTTCCAAACATGGTAGCATACCCGATCAAACACTTGGTATTTTCTTGTCAATACTGCTAATTAACAGGACCTCAAAACCAGTTTTGCTGTTACTTAGAGTAAAGCAGAGGACAGCGGCCATGATTGAGAAAATACTTATTTTTTTTTTCCTAGGGTAGCCTGTGTTCTGCAATTTGCAAACAGACTCATTAAACCATTTTGTGAAGAAGGTGTTTTGATTAAACCTGGAATTTGTGTTCTCTAAGCCTTTCATTGCTTAATTTTCACAAGTTAAGAAAAAAAAAATAAATTCCTTTATACAACCAGCAATGTGTCAGGTTGTGCTTTATTAAATCTAGCCCATTGCCCTGTCACCAGATCCAGCCATTACAGATTCAGCTGCTCATTAAGCATGCCAGGCAGACGCTTTAAATCCATTCATTTATCTTGCTGTGCCATGCTTCCATGTGTGCTCTTTTAGCACAGATTTCTTGGTCTGTCAGGTTTGCGAGCTAGCTGTGTGCTGGCAAGGGAATCCCATCCCTTCTTGTGAGTGAACAGTGAGCTGAGGCAGGCTCAGGGGAGCCACTACTAACTGCCTAATTCTCCTTTAGGATTTGACCGTCTCATAGCTCCTTAAGAAGCAGAAACTGCCTGCTCAGATTTTGAGGAGGCAGAAGGACAGTGTGCTCTTGCTGACCTGAAAGTGACTCATTGCTCCCCGGAGAAAAGGTGGCAGAGGCAGGGAGCCAGTTTTGCCACGGGTGGTTTTTGGTACTGACTATGAAGCTGTCACCTTTATTCCGTGTCTACTGGAGCAATCTTTCTGCACTCACTCCTCCCTGTCTGTTCCTGTCTGCTCTGGGCTCGCCTAGATTCACATCCTAAGAGCACTTTTCCCGGAGTGTTTGTATTTGGTACAGTAGTAAAGCAAACTTCCATTCCCCAGACTTCCGAGTTGCCAGTTCCTGTGCGTACTTGCATTCTCTTCAGGAACCGGGGCTTAACTGTCTTGCCCAAGAGCTCGAGTTTAGTCTCCCACCAAGAACTACAAGGTATGCCAGAGCAAAGGAAGAAGAGGGGTACTTTGGTCACACTCAGGCAAAAGGAAGAAAGCGAGTTCTAGTGAACTTTCTGAGTGGATGGTCTCGCTTCACCAGCCCAGCACTGAATTGTTGGTCATGCTCCCACCGCCCTTGGCTAGTCAGGAAGTAGGTGGCAGCTTTGGGTGCAGAGCCATCACCACAGTTGCATGGTTTGGACATTGCATCTTGCAAAGGCATCTGTAGGCTCTTGTACATTGCAAAACTATATGACAAAATGTGACATTAGCCTCCTTAGAGTATTCTCTTCCCCAAGAGGAGACTTCCCCAGCACTTCCCCAAGAAGTGCTTGCCTTTTGGCAACTGAGTAGCAAATGGGAATGATGTGCTTCCGTGAAGCAATGAACAGTCTTTGATGCCTTATCTCCTGCATCAATTTTACGTGGAACATCTGCA